CTAATACTAATAATAAAAATATTTAATTTAATCTAAATTAATCAACGCAATCACATATATATACAACGCTAACAAATAAGATATACAGATAATAATTCAATTAGTAATCAACGAAATATGTACTAAGTTCATTGTATTATAAAAATTTATACTACAATTTACTACCATTACTAGCAGAAAATAGTTCTCATAGTGCAAATTATGTAAAAGTAAATTGTAGTGTGTACAAAAAGTTTTGTCACTTCTAGGCACGCTCGATCGCTGTATTTACTGCAAGCGTGGATGAACAAATGTTTGGAATGTATAATATTTTTAAGTTACCCTCACTATATTTGTGTAAGAAATTATTTTATTTGAATTGCTTTTTTCTGTATCACTATATTTGTGTAGGAAATCATTTGTTGATATTTTGTATGAATTGCTTTCTTCTGTATCACAGCTAAATCGATGAAACTGTAATTTGATTTTCTCATGTAAGTGAATAGTTTATGTTATTCTTTGTGAGAAATAAACGATCTTAAACCTGAAAAATTAAGACATTATAAATAAATAAACCAGTAAGTACATATGGTGACGGATTAAGAATACAGAGTGTCACCACCCCTATTCATCCCGTAGGTGTCGTAAGAGCCGACTTAGGGCGAAAACTACGCAGAACAATAGCACTGCAGAGAGAAAGAAAACTTTATAGGTTATAAAAGGTCCAGTACCGAAACGGACACAGTTGATTCACAAATTATTTGTGTGATCCAAAAAGTTTATCGAAAAGTTCTGGATTGCTAATTATCCAAGTGACGGGGGAGAAAAGTTGATTTCATTGAACAATGGCAGAAAGTTGCGGCCGGTAAAAGTTCAAAAAATATATTTAGAGCAGACTGAAGTTACATCTCCACGCAGTGGGAACGGGTGGTGCCGTTTTGACATATCCAGCAGATCCTTAACTAGAAAAAGAAGCTGGCATTCGGGTGAGATAAGACCAATATTTCATACGCGGCCGAACCAGCGCCTTATAAGTTGTGGGTGATGAGTGTACTTCATTCCACCTTGTTCTTGTATTGAGTATATTTAGTTAAATTAAATTTAGTTTTTCTGACACTAAGAATGCTTCAATAACTTGCATGTGAGGTTAAATGTAGAATTATCTTTCAAATAAATAGTATTGAATAAATCTTCGCCCGTACCGGTTGCCTCTTACTTATGACACATTTGAATTTCTGAAATAAACCCCTCTAACTTGTTACATTATTCACATCAGACGAGCATTTAAATTTATGAAGACTTGTCTATTCAGATTTCATTCTGTTGGACCGTTTTATTTAAAATTCAATTCATCTTCATTTTTCAAATGTAAACATGGTTTTTAAACTGCAACGTTTAGGAATAAATATTTTGAAATTAGTTACTAAGAATACTGCGTGTTGAAAGTTTAAGTTTAGACACAACCTTGTTTTTTTTAATGGTAAATTGGGGAAAACGAACAGACGTGTAACTTGATGGTAAGTAACAACATCGCCCATGGACACCTGTATAGTCGTATAGTCCGATGCTTAATGCACAACTTGTACACTTAATTGTGTGTAACTTAATTGTGGCTCGGAACATCGTGCGTTTCGATGCGCAGAACACAATAATATGTAGCAGCGCGACGTAGAGGAGCGCGGGGGCAGATCGACACACGACACGCATGCCATTTAGTGTGTGAGTTACATCCGCACACTGCGCATGCGCACATATTCCTTTCTACGTACACTCGAAGCGACTTGACTGCTAACTTCAGAGCCGCCATTAAGTTTGCATTGTACTATAACTGAAGAGTTACTTAATCATAGGGGAACGGGTGGCTGGGGCTCTGGTAACTGCGCGGTGGCTTAATAGTTTAAGCGGTCGCCATGCCGCTTCCCACTGCGCTAAGTGTTGTGGGTTCGATCCCCAAACGGGACACCACTTTGTGCTATCCACAAATTGTTGGTCTTAGTTTGGGTGTTCTACGTGTCCGTTTCATGAATATTTGTAAAGTCCTCCGCGACACAGGTGATATATTCCTAATGCAGTTGTCTTTAAAAAAAAAGAAACCACTCTTTGGGTGAAAATCAACAAAAGAACTACTTAACACTAAACTTCTGTTAGACCACGATATAACTCCGGTCGAGCCGGCGCAATTGTGCCTTTGTATTATTTATGATTATAACCTTATTGTTGTAGTAAGCGCGTCGTCTATTATGGGTTCAATTTCTCCATGGACAAAAATTGGTGTTATCCCCATCTGTGTTTTCTTTGCGTCTGTTGTTACAATGTTTGTAAAATCTGTCGCGACAAGGGAATCGTTACTAATGAAGGAGTTGTCTTTTAAGGACGAAAATAATAAAAAAAAAAGACATGTTACATGTATACGAGTCGAAAGATAATGATTTATAAAATAATTTTGCAGTGTACAGTAGAGAGAATTGCTCTAGAATTTGATCGTGAAAGTTGATTTTGTAATAACCCGAGTAGAATCTCAGAAGCTTAATTAATATTTACAATTAAAAGATAAACCAACCATTTAAATAAAAAAATATAAACTTAATTACAATTTCAAAGATTGCTTTAATTGAAGAGTGAAGTAAAACAGGGCTGCTCCTAGAGAACATTTAAGTCTTATATTATTATGTAGGTATAATTTATTAAAAAAGGATTTAAGAATCTATGTTGTAAACGGTTTTGGTCAAGTCTTTTTACAATTAAAATAAGAGTTATTACTTGGCACCATCAAGTCGTACTTGGAACGCACTAACTTAAGGAAGGTTTCGAGGGCACTTGGGTAGAATGTAAAACTGTACCGTTGAAACTGTTCATGAAGGGATAACAAGATTATAAAGTTTGCTTTTACACCGCTAGGCATTTAGTACCTACGGCTATGAATAATAATTTCTCTATAATTAGTAGACCTGTAGTAGACAACAAATATCCTTACATTTTATAAAACGAAGACACCGGCCGTGTCTGTCTGTATAAACGCGATAAACTCAAAGACTACTAAACGGATTTTTGTACGGTTTTGACCAATAGATAGTGTGATTATTAAGGAAGGTTTAAATGTATAATGCATCATGGTTTAATGTAAATTGACTGTGAAATTTAACGATTATTTTGAAAGTGGTCGCAAAAATCTTATGCTATTTAAACTGGGCGAAAGAAGTATCATGGTTACCGAAATTCTCGCGGGCGAAGCTGCGGGCAGAAGCTAGTATAAAATAATTATATTATAATTACTTATTTTTAGAATATAATTTTATATAATTATACATAATTATAATATAACTATATATAATTATAATATCTCAGTCTCTGGCTGCAGTTTGTGATAATATTTTTCGTTTGGTTTACATATTATGGATTTTGTCGTAGTAGGCTAATCTCTGCTTACTTTAATAATAATATTAATATTTTTTGGACATTTATCACACAACGCCATCTAGTTTCAAACTAAGCAGAGCTGGTACTATGAAAGCCGGATTGACCGATGGAATACTTATATATCTTTATATATACATACATAATATACATAGAAAACACCCAAACGCCGAAACAAAAATTTACAGATAAAACAAACATTTGAACCGACTCGGAAATCGAATACGCTCATCACAGCAGTCGCATACGCTACCACTACACCATCGAGAAATGTTTTCATTCATTATTATTGTTTTAAAGACTAACGAGCTCGTTATTATTTATGAGTATTTTGATTGTTTTAAGTGCAAAGGAGGAGCATTTGAAAACGTAACGAGGGATGTGCTGCCATGTAATTGTAGGTAATTGTTTTTGTTTTCATTTAGCAAGTAACATCCCGCAGCTATGGCAGCAATTATAGTTTAAAATTAAATACTATACCTTCACTAATTAAACTCAATTTTTTTTTTGTTTTTTCACATTCACACAACGCCATCTAGTCCCAAACTAAGCAGAGCTTGTACTATGGGTATGTGGGGGAATTGCCACCACATTAATTCCAAGGTTCGTACCGGGATCTTTAACCAGTCAGGTAGGTAGGACGTTTAAGAAAAAATATCACTACACTGAGGTGGAAGTCGAATGATGAACGATAGTTTAGTAGTTCCAACAATTATATTTTAAAAAGAATCTTTACAAAATTAACGGATATATAGATATTAACTCGATACAAAAATAATGAGCGGTAGTAAGCGTGAGCGCCGAACGCGGAGTGCGTAGGTAGGTCCGTACATTGCCGGTCGCTAGGCCAGTGCGACGTCACACGCCATCCTTTTGTTTACTGCCTCGGGTGTATGGTCCAAGGTGCGAAAGTTGAGCGGGGCTAATAACTTCGTAGGATGTGGTGTAAGTAGGTACGCCACATATTCCCCCCGGCCAGACCGTGACTACGGTCGATAGAACTCGGGGAACTTGACGCGACGACCGCTCCTCGTTCTTCGTTCTTCCACTTCATCACCAGGAGTAGGCTGGGATGCAGGCACTGTAGTAGCAGCGGGTGTAGAAGCAAGCGGTACAGCAGAAAGCGACGGGGAAGTAGATGAGCGTTCTTCCTTCGTCATGTACGCTGGCTTCAACCTGTCAATAGAGACGTTAGTAGTTTTGCCGTTGACGTCTATAGTGAAGAACTTGGCATGTCTGTTGATAACCTTGAAAGGTCCTGAATAAGGTGGCTCCAAAGAAGCTCGCACGCGATCCTGTCGAAGGAAGACGTGGGAAGAAGAAGAGAGATCTTTGGGCAGATAGAATGGAGAAGAAGTATGCCAAGAAGTTGGACGTGGCGTAAGCTTAGCCATGTAGGATTTGAGTCGAGTAGCATACTCAGTGACGTCAGCGGCGGTGAAAGAGTCTGAAGGGGAAAGAAACTGGCCAGGTAAGCGGAGAGATTCACCATAAACCAACTCAGCAGGAGATGCTTGAAGGTCTTCTTTCCAAGAGCTACGCATGCCAAGAAGAACAAGCGGAAGAGTTTCTAACCACTGAGAGGAAGAATGACACATTATTGCAGCTTATAGTTGTCGGTGTAGGCGTTCGACAATGCCATTGGCGGCGGGATGGTAAGCAGTAGTGCGAAAGTGTCTGGCACCAAGAAGGGAGGAGAGAGCTTTGAAGAGATGGCTCTCGAACTGCCGACCACGGTCGGTAGTGATTCGGGCTGGACAACCAAATCTGGCGATCCACCCAGAGACGAGGGCTGCAGCGCAAGACTCAGCGGTGATTGATTTAAGCGGGTACGCCTCAGGCCAACGTGTAAACCTGTCGATGACGGTGAGGCAGTACATGTAGTCAGAGGAAGATGGCAAGGGACCAATAAGGTCAAGATGAATGTGTGAGAAACGAGAAGAAGGAGTCAGGAATGTGGATAGAGGAGAGGTAGTATGGCGAGTAACTTTACTTGATTGACATTGCAAGCATTGCCTAGCCCACTCTCTACAATCTTTGCGGATTCCTGGCCACACAAACTTTTGCGTGACCAGTCGCACTGTAGCAGAACAACCGGGATGATGTAAGTTGTGCAGCATCGCGAAGACTGTTTTCCTGAAACTCGGCGAAATGTATGGTCGAGGTGGCTGAACAGACATGTCACAGTAGACTGGAAGAGTGCTGTTCAAGGTAAGTACCTTTTGTAGTCTTAGGGCAGAACCACGTAGTAGCAGGTCTTGCAGTTCTGGATCTTCGTCCTGAGCACGTGCAAGAGCCTGATAGTCTAAGGTAAGTGATACTTCCTCAACCCGAGAAAGTGCATCCGCAACCACGTTGTCTCGTCCTGGCAGGTAGCGTATATCGGTAGTAAATTGGGCTACAAAGTCCAGATAGCGGAACTGTCTTGGAGTACAGTTTTCTTTGCTCATGGAGAAGGAGTAGGTAAGCGGCTTGTGATCCGTGAAGACAGTAAAGGTTCTCGCTTCCACCATGTGCCGAAAATACTTGATAGCCTCATAGACAGCCAGGAGTTCGCGGTCGTATGGGCTGTATTTCATCTGTGAGCTGGAAAGTTTGTGTGAATAGAACGCAAGAGGTTGCCAGTCCTCACCTTTCTTCTGTTGAAGTACAGCTCCGATGGAAGTCAAAGAAGCATCCGTGACGATCGCTAACTCTGCAGAAGGATCTGGATGAGCAAGGAGAGCTGCATGAGAGAGAGAAGCTTTGCAGTCCTCGAAAGCTTTACGACGTTCTGGAGTCATTTCCACAGGATGTGAACCCTTAACCTTCGGACCAGATAGAACGGCATTCAAAGATGCTTGAAGTTGAGCTGCGTGGGGTAGAAAACGATGATAAAAGTTGATCATACCCAAGAATCGACGAAGCTCTTTGACCGTTTTAGGTTCCGGGAAGTTCTGGATGGCCTCGATCTTAGACTGGAGAGGCTGTGTTCCAGCAGCTGATACTCTGTATCCGAGGAAGACAACTTCAGACTGACCCAGATGACTTTTGGAAGTGTTTACTAACACTCCATACTCCTTGAGGCGCTGAAAGAAGATGTGCAGGTGTTCCTTATGCTGCTCCACAGAACTGGAGAAAACGAGGATGTCATCAATATACCCATAAGCGAAGTCGAGTCCCAGCAGAACCATATCGATGAACCTTTGGAAAGTTTGAGCCGCGTTTCTTAAACCAAAGGTCATGTACGGGAACTCAAAAAGCCCAAAAGGAGTAGTAATGGCAGTTTTAGGTATGTCTTCTGGATTGACGGCAATCTGATTGTAGGCCTTGACTAGGTCTATAGTAGAGAAGATGGAACAACCTGACAGTTGGTGCGAAAAGTCCTGGATGTGGCGGACGGGATACCGGTCTGGAACGGTTCTAGCATTTAGGGCACGGTAATCCCCGCAAGGTCTCCAGGCATCATCCTTCTTCTTCACCAAATGCAGTGCAGAGGACCAAGGACTTTCAGAGCGTCTAGCTATACCACTGGCGAGCATATCCTCGAACTCCTTTTTCGCAGCTTGGAGGCGAACAGGATCAAGACGACGAGGCTTACACGAGACTGGAGGTCCAGGGGTAGTCTTAATGTAGTGCATTGTACTATGTTTGGGAGGAGACTGAATACCTGCAGGTCTGGTGATTTCAGGGTAATCACGAAGAATGTGATGAAAATCCGAATCACCAGTGACCGCCTTGATGGAAGACAGCTCATCAGGAACCGAAGAAGAAAGGGCTGCTACTGACAAGGTTGTAGTACCGTCAATGAGACGTTGGTTTCTGCAATCCACGAGTAAGTTGTAGAAACTGAGCAAGTCGACACCAATGATGGGTCGAGATACATCGGCGACTGTAAAAGTCCATGCAAAATCTCTCCGAAGTCCCAAATCCAAGTGAAGCTGAACTGGTCCGTAAGTATGGATGACGCTATTGTTTGCAGCTACCAGGTCGTATTTGGTAAGTGAGCAGGGCGTTTTATGTGCTGAACGTGGGAAAACACACAGGTCGGAACCAGTGTCCACAAGGAACTGCATTTTCGTTGCACGATCTGTCACAAACAAACGGCCTGATGATGTTGAAGGTGGGCAGTCGTTGGCCGCTACTTCCGACCGCCCTGTGCGTTTCCCGACGTGAAGGTACAAGGTTGCTTACATTTCTTCGCTTTAGCTCCGTATGTGAAGTGATAGAAGCAGTGAGGATGATTCGGAGGTGGCTGCTGTGGTCTCGAGCGACTGCGTGAGCGATCGCTTCGCTGTGACTTGGAACGACTGCGTCCGGGATGCCCTTTCCTAGACATGTGAGAGGTAAGTGAAGCTACTTGCCTAGTGAGTTCGCTTATCTGCTTAGTCATCTCGTCAAACCGATCAGCACCTGAGGATGATGTACTAGCGACTTGAGGAGATGGTGCAGCGATGTCGTAGACAGAATCAGCCAAATCAGCCAGGTACTCCAGTGGCTCGTCCCTCCTAGAGGCTAAAACAGTTCGGCAGAACAACCTGCTGGTCCAGATAGTCTTCATGAACTGGCTGGGCACGTCTGCACCTGCTAGACCCTCTAGGTGGCGCAGGAACTGCGAGGGCTTCCGGTCTCCTAGCTCCTCTCGCTCCAGCAGCTGCTTCAAACGCTTTTCCTGCGATGCACATAATCGTTTAATAAGTTCAGTCTTTATTTTCTCGTATTTGCCCGATGCTGGAGGATTTTTAATGACGTCCTTCACTTCCATTGCGCATTGTGTGTCGAGCTGTGAAACTACATAATGGAATTTGGTTTCGTCGGTGACCACCCTAGAGAGGATAAACTGACTCTCCAGTTGCGCGAACCATACAGTAGGGTCCGCAGGCCAAAAAGGTGGGACGCGCACTCCCACGCGCGATACCTGAGGCTCCTCCACTATTGCGTTCGGAATAGGACCATCCTCATTAGACATCTTTAATATTAAAAAAATATTAAGTCGCTTGCCGCTTGTGACTTGGACCACACGCTAAAATTTCTATGAAAGTTAAAGTGGTATGTATCTAAGTAATTTCTCAATACTAATTACACCAAGTATTTCAAAAAAGTACCTTAGAAACAGGTTCCCTTGTTGAACTGATGCACTGATGCAATCCTGGATATTCCCGATTTTCAGCCACAAACCTTGAAAAATCTTCTACCTTCAAAAAATCCGGCGCAACAATCTTCAAAATTCTTCTGCTTTCGGGGTCACCAATATGTGGGGGAATTGCCACCACATTAATTCCAAGGTTCGTACCGGGATCTTTAACCAGTCAGGTAGGTAGGACGTTTAAGAAAAAATATCACTACACTGAGGTGGAAGTCGAATGATGAACGATAGTTTAGTAGTTCCAACAATTATATTTTAAAAAGAATCTTTACAAAATTAACGGATATATAGATATTAACTCGATACAAAAATAATGAGCGGTAGTAAGCGTGAGCGCCGAACGCGGAGTGCGTAGGTAGGTCCGTACATTGCCGGTCGCTAGGCCAGTGCGACGTCACACGCCATCCTTTTGTTTACTGCCTCGGGTGTATGGTCCAAGGTGCGAAAGTTGAGCGGGGCTAATAACTTCGTAGGATGTGGTGTAAGTAGGTACGCCACAGGTACTAGACAACTGATATAAATACATATATACTTTTTTTTTGTAAATACATACTTATTTTACATAGAAACACCCAGACCAAATCAAACATTAAATGTTCATGCACACAAATGTTTGACAAGGGGAATCGAACCCGCGACCTTAATAGCAGTCCGTTACACAAACCAGTACGCCATTCGGTCATTAAACTCCTTACATAAATATAATAATATACTAATATATTAATAAACACAGACACCAATCCCCAAGTTACAGGTTTAAATCTATTGTGGAAACCATGGAGCCCCATTTGTGTATGTAATATTTTTATGTGTACACTTTATGTCTAAATACATGGAACTGGCTTGCCTGCTTAAACTCCCAAGTACCTTAAATTACTTTCCCCCCTTGTCTATCTTTCCCTTTCATACTCACTCCACCCCACTCGAGAGTCCGAGCTGTATATAATTTTCTGAATCCTTTGCAACCAAACTCACGACTAAAATACCAAAATTTACGACTAAAATACCAAAATTTACGATAGCCAAACTCAACAGCGTACTCCTTCCTAACAGCTTATTAACGCGCTTGTAACTCCTGAGTTGCAGACGTTCATGTGCGGCTATAGTCACTTTAAATCAGTCATTTGTTTGTTTAACATAAAAAAAAACAACAGAAAATTAATACTAAACAAATGGGAGTATCTTTTCCAACTTTAAATACCGAACGAAATCGGACAATATACATTTATACAATAATACTTAATTAAAATGTTCCACCATTAAGATGTTAAGATAAAACCATTAAACGTTTCCAAACTAAATGAAGATACACCTCCATAAAAGAACCATTAGTGGTGAAACGCTACAAACTATAAGCTAGAAATAGAAGAACAAAGTGCTCAACAATACAAGATATCTTTTACTGTTCGCTTCAAAAAGGAAACGCTTCATATATCTTTTGGAGGTCCGTCAGTTACAGGATACGTCAAATACACTGCACACTTTGTTCTTTAAATGAGTTCCAATTTACTTTGCAGCTATGTAATGGTATTTTCTCAGTTCGAAACTGTAGAATAAGTGTCTGGATGGTATATAATGGCGAAATTGAGAACATAAATTCTGAAAGCGTCAGTTTGAGCTTTGAAACAATCAAATCTAAAATTCCGAGTAAAAGTGCACTTTAAAACTTTTTTCTACATCACGACTTGACTTACATTATAAGCGCACTACTTGACTTACAAAGGGACTTTCTGGGAGACTTTCTTCAAGAGACCTGTGAGCATTTATACGAGAGCGTTCAAACTAAAAAGCAAAACTACAAATGGTTTCCAAAAAGATCTCAATGGACACCGGGAGATCTGCCATGAATCTTTCTTTTTATTAGAAAAAAAAGGCCTATACTTGTATTGTTTTCTATAAGTAAATAAATAATATATATAAAAATAAATAAGTTAAGTTAATAAGTAAGTAATATAAATAAAAGTAAATAAGTTTCTCTCACACTGTTTACAATAACAGAACTTGTTAAGGTCACCAGTATCATAAATCGGTAAGGCAGCTTAATTGTGGACAGACATGTCTTGTACCCCTGCCTCCTTTGGTAACTTGGTCTGTGAAACAGTATGCCTGGATTAAATCAGCCGTTTTTTAATAAAAATAAGTTGACTCTGAATAAATGATATTTCAGCAAAATATTCTATAATCATCAACAGCCTTTAATAGTCCACTGCTGGACATAAGCCTCTCCTTAGAAAGGAGGTTTTGGCCTACTATGTATTATATGCTATATACTATAATGTATCACTACTACATAATGCGTTCTACAAATTAAAAAAAAACTCTAATACTCTCTAAAACTAATTATTACATTTATGTAAAGCTGAGAATGACAGCACTATGTGACGTTACTGGACTTTAAAAAACGTTTTGAAAGGGACCTAAATTGTCACATTTTGGACTTCCCGAGATGTCACGATAGCAAAATTATCTCTTATGTCAGCGTGACAAGAATTATGAGTATATTTTATAAGCAGGCGCTGGACTGGATGAAAACGGTCAACGTTGCATTTATGGAAGACATTCTTTTAACAGCGAGGAATAAAATTAAGATTTTATTATGTCCGTCTCATCTTAGATGAGTATTATGACAAGATTATTAAGATTTGTGGAGGCAATGATGTCATATTTTAGGTTACTCATTTTAAGTTCATGTTAGAAAACGGAGGCTGTGTATGACTCAATGACTAATTTTGTTAAACTTATAAAGCTAAAAACAAAAGTGTTTCTTGCCTTTATCTTTCACACTTGGAGGCAGTTTTTTTTTTTTAAATTCATATTGAAGAAAGCACAACCTTCCAAATAAATATACAATTTTCCAAATGGTTACATAAATTTTGGGGTTTTGCATGAAAAAATACATCTAAATTAAGAATCTTCTTCTTTTTATGAAGTCCGTTAAAATATATAAATAATAATAAAAATATTATCGAACATCTGACACTTGTTGTCTAGTTTCAAACTAAGCAGAGCTTATACAATGAAAACTAGATTGACTGATACAATACTTAAACATAGAAAACATCCAAAATCCGAAACAATTTGCAGATCATACAAATATTTGCTCCAAACCGGGAATCGAGCCTGAGACCTCAGCACAGTAGTCGCATACGCTACCACTGCACCACCGAAAAAAGTGTACAATTTATATATTTTTTTAACCGACTTACACAATACTTTGGAAACATGGTATATCGTCGCAATTATATGTATATTTGTATAAGGCATGACGAGTTTGAAATATTTGGATCGGGGCCGTCACAGGTGAAAAAAATATACACCTTAGACTTTTTTGGCTCCGATCCTGATGTGACAAAGTATTAGAATAAGCTTTTTGGTCTAGTATGTATCTATTTTTTGTTTTGTTTTAGTGTTCTAGTTTTGTTTTGTATTTTTGTGCTTCTTCCTTCTACTTGATTTGTGTTAACTTAACATTTGGAACATATCTGCGAATGCCTGTCAATAGCAATGATGTTATTAGGCTTAGTTTCTAGAAAGTGTATTTTATGCTGTTGGTATTCCAAAGATAATAAAATAAAATAAAATAATAAAATTATTACACTAACAAATACCTACCACATTTATATGCTAAAGTGACTTATCGTGTCGGTTTAGATGCTCAAAGAGTTCGTGCTCACATTATTATGTCAGTCGATAAAGAATGTTTATTTCAACCAGTAGCAGTAGTTAGTGAAGCGGAAAAAGAAATCATATTCATTGAGTTCTCATGATAGCAATACATATTTTCTGCTTTAATGATGTGTGTGTAATGATAATAGAACAGTATTATATTTAGATTTTTCTAGTCACTAGTGGTTAGCGATCTTGACTTCTGAATCAGAGGGCGTGGATTCGATTCCTAGCCAGGACATTCGATTGTGGTTTACATAGAAGACAAGAATGATTGGGATTAATATAACACAGGCTATTTCTTAACTGGAAGTATAGTGTGAGCTAGTGTTTTTAATTTATTTTAAATAAATAAAAACACACTAGCCAACACTACACGGTTGTGGATTACATAGAAGACAAGAATTATTGGGATTAATATAGCACAGGTCATTTCTTAAGTGGAAGTATAGTGTGAGCTATAGTGTATATTATTTGTTGTAAATAAGTAAAAAACACTAGCCCACACTACACGGTTGTAGATTACATAGAAGACAAGAATGCTTGAGATTAATTTAGCTCACCCTATTTCTCAATCGGAAGTGAATGTTACTTACTGAATTTTACTATATATTTAATGATGCGACTGTATCTAGCTGTAATTAAAACAGAGTCGCCGTGAGTTTGTTTGTCCTTTCTTCTCATAAGGCTCAACCCCTTGGAAGCGGGCGATTGTATATCGGCAAATTCATATAATGGGTTAACTTCCTTTTGATAAATAATTGACAAAAACAGATTGTTGCTATTGTGTATGTTGATCTATGACTTTAGAGTCTAAGGCGATTTTAAATAATGTTTATTTTATATCATGAAATATTTTGAGTTTGAGTTTGACAAACATTGTATGATGAACACGATCATTTGTGCTAAATCTGAGTGTAATTTATCGATAATAGGTATGTACTTAAGAACGATATAAGTACGTTTATTTAGAATTATATGTGCCTGGTTGGACTTTAGTATTACGTAAGTGAGACTAACATATAGTGGGAAAAATGTGGACTACTATTTTAGTCTCGCTTATATATGAGGCAGACCTCTTCAGGGATAAAGACCTGGGTGTATGTATGTAGGTACTATTTTAGTTTTTTTTATAAGTTTAAAATTAATATCGAAGTTTAATACATTACGTGCCAACGATGTAGCTTAAATCCACGATAAAAGTTATAAGTGATAATTTGGACTTAATATCATTGCTTTGAAAGCGATAAATTTATACGAGTACGTATAAATTTAACGTTTACAAAGCTAGAATATAATTCAATGTATTTAGGGTTTAAGAAATATTGTAACATAAATACGCTTTTTAAATTTTCTTTTACAATCAAATAACGACGTGAATGAGTCTTTAATGTTATGTGTTGCATTTTTTTTAACCTTTTAAAATGAGAGTTTATAATAAACGATACTAAAAACTTTAGGGACGAAAAGGTCTGAGGTCAAGCTTAACAGCACTTGGTGCCCGCTGTGGGCAAAAGCGGGTAGTTTATAAGTATGATTGTGCAAATTTTATTCTCAGTTGTGCTTTGTAAGTGAATTCTTACATCTCATCAAATGACGTCACCGAGGGCTTCGTATTAATATTTAATTTGTCATTGTTCCTTGAATATAGGTATTTGAAATAAATATTCTGTTTAGTATTCCCTGTGACGTCAGTACAAATAGCCTTCCCGTTTTCAACAAATTGAGTGATCGCCGCGCCGGTGTTTCATTTAAACTCGGCTTTATTTACAAGTTTATTTGAATTCTTGCCAACTTGGTACCAACATTGGTTTACTTTAGTCCAACATAAATCGATATATAAGACACAGTATATTAAAATACTTCTTGGAGCCCCTCGCCTCCTGCCAACCCTCGTTGGAGGGGGCAGGTGCGGAGGGGCCCGGCAGGGGTGTCGGAGTGGGGAGCGGAGGGAATGCCACTCCGCTCCTCGGCGCTGTTCTAGGCCCCGTCTTGGCCGGCGCCTGGGGATGCGCCCTGGCCGGCGCCTTAGCCGGTGCCTTGGCCGGCGCCTGGGCCGGTGCCTTGGCCCCCCTCCTCGGCTTTTGTGGAGCCGATGGAGTAGGGGCAGACGCCGCCGCCGCGTAAGAAACGCGGCCTCCCACAACGGGGAGCGCGGTCGGAGCGGCGGCCTTAGGCCGCTGTGCCGACGCGAGCGGGGGGCGCATAATCGGCGCAGGAGGCAATCTCGCCTCCAGGCCAGCCAGGCGTCCGTCCAGCATATTCCCAACTGCGATGAGGATTTCTCGCAGTTGGGAGTCAAATGCCCCTGAGTTGGTGGTAGGGGCAGGCTGGGACGCGGACGGGGCTTCCCGCTCGGGGAGGTTCGCCTGGAAGCGGGCGAACTGAGCGCTCAGCTCGTTCACCCGCTCCGTCAGCTTCTCGTTAGCCACCTGCAGGCGAGAGACGTCGCCCGCTAGGCCCTCCACGACCTCCGACAAAGCGGAGGAGGAGTCCTTAAGGGCCCTCACAAACGAGCCCTTAAGGTTCACGGATTTGGTGGCCACCTTGTTGATGACGGCCACCGCCGCTTTCGCCCTCTCCTAACAAACCCTATACCAACCCGTCTGGTCAGCGTGGTATAGTAGGCCAAAACCTCCTTTCTAAGATAAGATCTATGTTCAACAGTGGACTATTTCACGTGACGAAAGAAAGTATTTCCAGAGATAATAATTTCAAGGTCTATGTATCTCAACTCAAGAATCACAATTGAGTTGTCGACCTTTGATTACCTACCCCCTCCCTTTCCACTAATTAGGGACGAAGGGGGAATTGCTCAACACTGGTTTTCTGTGAGGCCGTATCACTCCGGTTGGTAAAATATGCATATATTTAAGGATTGTATTAATTTACGAGTATTTAAAGGAGACTAGCCGGTGCTCGCGACTTCATTCGCGTTTAATTTGAAAAGCGCTGCCTTATTGGGTTTGATTCCGACTGGATTTTTTGTTTTCACAAGGTTTTGACAAGGTTTTTCTGAGAGAAAAAATAACCTAAGTTACTACTGAGTAACTTAGGTTGTTTTTTCTCTCTTCTTTCTCTTAGGTAGCTGTCTATATAAGGATACAGACAGCTACCTGGTAGTAAAATATTATCAAAACCAGTCTAGCCAGTTTGAAGATAGACAGACAGACAGAGACAAAAAATATTTACACTCATTTTTAGGCATAGGTATCGTGTTAATAATCGTGTGAGCATGAAACTTGTTATTTTGACATTACAAACAGATACTTCAATTTAGTTTATTTGTAAAGATAGTTAATTATATAACAAGTTGAATTTACTGTAACGATTCATTAAAATCGGGTGAAATATGTTTGTATGTGATATACTTTCTTAATACCATTATTAAACTAAAATTATTTAAATAATTATATTAATTTATTATTATCTATATGTACCTACTATATTACTTTTTACACGACTAAGTTTTCAAACAAGCATTAGTTTTCCAGCATGATAATCTGGGGGCTGCCTAAAATACAATAGAATACAAGTAGCAATTTTGTTATTTTTATACAGTAATATGTATAAAAAATAGTCAAATGATATAATAATATAGATATAAGAATAATATTAAAACATAGGATGCAGGTATGTACTTATATAGTAAACTAACTAACTAACTACTAAAAGGTAATCATATTATACTACTGCAATGTAACTATGCTGTGGTGTTAAGCAATATGGTACATTGGTATACGTTGGGCCAACATATAAAAAGTATAGCCGAATATGTCTCGTTTAAAGCCACACATACATTTGAATCCAGTGTTGGGTGATTTATTTCAATGTTTGAATGTGAGCCTGTCGTGTGGTTTCCAATAGATGGTTTAATTATTTTTTTTTTAAATACTACTTCTGCATTAGGTATCGTGTTAATAACCGTGTGAGCATGAAACTGTGTCGCGGGAAACCTAGGATAAAAAAATAAGTGATGACCACGACAATTTCAATATTTTCCTTGTCCTTGTAAAAGCACTGCACGGATGGCGTAGTGGTTTAAGCGGTCGCCACGCCGCTTCCTACTGCGCCGAGTATTGTGGGTACAATCCCCATATGAGACGACACTTTGTGTAATCCACAAACTGTTGTTCTGAGTCTGGGTGTTATTTGTGTCCGTTTCATGTATGTTTGTGAAGTCCCCCGCGACACAAGATATATTCCTAATGCGGGAGCAATCTTTTAAAAAAAAGCACTGTTAAAAAGGTTTCGTCTCTTAATTTAGAATACTACCTATATATACTTCTGCATCTGTATGTAATTATAAGTAAATCTCTGCCCAAATTGGGTTCAAACTTGGCTTATAAATATAAACGTTATATTCTCAAATCCACGTACTGGTTACTTTGTCTATCAAATAATGCAAGGCCATGTTTGTCCACTATCCCGTAGGGAGCACATGTTGCTAATATATCCACGAAATTTTAGCATCATGCATGCGGAGATAGTAATTGACACTATACGTGGTCAGCGAAAACATGATAGCTTGTTGACCAATAGCTGTATAAACAGGATTTGTGTGTAAATATTGATGTAAAATAGAGGGATTGAAAATTTACTTCAATATCTCTGTTTTAGGTTTGATAGACGAATAAAGTCTTTACGTCATTTTAATAACTGACACATATGTTTTCTTTTTATCTGCATCGTCAGCACATCTTAGAAAACGTTGAACGAACAACACGTGGTATTTTAAATAGTCCGTGTGGTGACGGATTAAGAATGCGGAGTGTCACTACCCCTATTCATCCCGTGGGTGTCGTAAGAGCCGACTAAGGGAGAAAACTACGCAGGACAACAGCACTGCAAAGAGAAGGAAAACTTGAAACAAACCCTATACCAACCCGTCTGGCCAGCGTGGTATAGTAGGCCAAAACCTCTTTTCTAAGGAGAGGCCTATGTTCAGCAGTGGACTGTTATAGGCTGTTGATGATGATGATAATTTTAAAGACACTTCTTCTTGTTTCAGAATGTATTTGAACGGATATATGCCAAGTCTTCTGCGGCAAGATCATCTGCTTTGGAAGCACCTCATTTGACACTTAAAGACCCCAGAATATGAATTATTTCATCTAATCCCTCAAAGTCGATACATTTTTTATGTTACTTATTTCTTTTATTTTATTTTTTCTCTGTTTGGGATAATTATAGCCAGCATTTTAAAAACATAATACATGAACATCTGATGGCCATTTACAAATATCCGCGATTAGAAATACACGCGTAAGATTAAATTGGAAATCAGTAAACGAAGACAAAACCAGTACCCGTAGTCAATCAAAAAAATTCTTAGCTAAAATGTTTTTAAGTTTAGAACACTGTATATACTATCTAGGTCTATTTCATATTTAGATGGAATTTTATTAAATTGTCTACTGGCGCGTATTAAAAATAGAACATACAAAAGACTAGGATTGCGCAGAATTGTGGGTGTTACGTTTATAGACATCGTGCCATTACTTCGCCGTAACGATTTACTTGGTATTCTGAAAAAGAGAGTAGTCTTCATACATACCTCATCATTGTGAGTCCAGCGTATAGCTGGAGGTGGTTCTGGAGAATGCTGGACCACGCACGTCAGGTTGATAGTACTGCCCATATTGATGAATAGCTCTGGACCGCCAAGAATCGTCGTCAGCGGCTCTGCTTGGGCGAAACGAGGTGGTTAGATTATTTTAATTTTTATAGGTAAAGTTTTAGTTAAATGTTAATTTTAGTTAGGAACGTAAAATCTGTTTCTAGCTGTAACATCTTTATGACATTTATGTCATGACTAGCTTTTGACCGTCGGCGACTTTACTCGAATGTTTTTTTTTCGTGTTTCTAACTTTGAAAATGATGAGTATCACTAAACTAATCATCCTTTGTTTACCCACTCAAGGGTCAAAATTCGTAGAAACCCTTTCTTAGTGGGTAATTACAACATAAAAATATCAGCTGCCATAAGTTTTTAGCCAGAACGGTTTAGGCTCTTAGTAGATGAATCAGTTATTCGGGGCAAGTAATTTTAAAGGTATACCTATAGATTCATGAATACTCCTATTTAACCCAATCAATACAGCCAGGAACTACCCTAACAGCTTTAGTTTCAAACTGTGTTCCTAGACAAATTTCCATTACAAGGAACCTAGTTACAAATTACTAACCACGCCTAGACTTGTTCGACAATTCACCACTCACTTAAAACATAGATATAGCTGTTTCAGATTGTTTATTGGCATAGCTCAGCTATTGATTACATGATATTCAATTGACAAACAGGTTCACTGTGCTTAAATATAGAATAACAAAGTAATAAAGAAGTATAGGTATCTAGAATATTAAGGGCCTAAGTGCCAGTAGAGTTCAATGACATGGAGACGATAAAACAAATTAACACTTATGCGGTCGACGGCCTATGGTGCCGAACGGTGATCATTGAAATAACACAGACCTGACTCAAATTTTATTACAGCCTCGACAGAATATAAAACATTTTACGATATTGCCAATTTAAGGCTAATTTTGGATCAATTCTACATAATGGCTCATTGGACGAATGGCGACACACTTGGCGAAATCACTAAACGGTTTAAATTATCAATGATTTGATGTCATGTATAAAAGATTGAATGAACAAGTATTTCAGAAACTATTCACATAATGAAAGCTTAAAAATTTGAATTGGAAGTTGGATAAGGAAACAGGAATGCGCTTATATTAATATGGTAGTTGGCTACAAAATCTTTTTTTTTATTGAAACCATTTAAACCATTTATTTTTGCTACAACATACATATTTAACCTACACGGAAAACGATAAAAATTAGACGGCAAAATCCTTTAAAAAAAAAAGTTGAACCGACTTCAAACAATAGTGACAAAGAGCACTAACTAAGTAAAAAAAGTAAAATAATTCCCCTTAATATAACAAGTAACATTATATTGGCAATAGTCCCTTCTAGTCTGTTTGTAGTCGGTGCCAACTTTCCGTGATATCCAAAAATTCCAAAAATATCTGTGTACGTGTAAGGACAACAGTACTGCATAGAGAAGGAAAACTAGACACAAAGCCTAAACCAACCCGTCTGGCCAGCGTGGTATAGTAGGCCAAAACCTCCTTTCTAAGTAGCGGCCTATCTAGCGGTCCAGCAGTGGACGATTAAAGGCTGTTGATGTGATGTGATAAAATATGAAAGTAAAAGCGTAACAAACATTTTTTTTTGTCTAAATGTTTTGTAATCTCATTTATTACTCTCTCCACCCTTTAGATTACAAAAAAAAAATCGAAAATTGGACAACAATTGCCGGAGATATCGCGTAACAATCATAAAAAAAAACAATACAGATGAATTGATGACCTCCTCTTTTGTGATTTTGAAGTCTGTTAGAAATTATGAAATTTCCCTTTTATGAAATAAAAACAAAAGCTTTTGCAGTAACTTCCATATACATTCCATATACTTGCATATAATATTTTATCGTTGTATATGCATGTCAGCAAAGAATACCATTTAAAGAAATCCCAGCGAATTACGGAGTAACGAGTAATCTTGCATCTTGCATGTAAGTCTCTACTAACGGGCGGTTATAGATCGGTACAGGCATATCAGATTTGCAGGGTAGACAGGGCAGATTTTGTATAAGTTTAATTTCTATAAAATTTATTTGCTTACTATTTGACAAAACAGATATTGTGGCTATTGTGTGTGTTGTCTACATAAAACACGATTCCAAACAATTTTTTTTTTTTATGAAATAAAGAGAGTTTGAGTGAGTGAGTGAATAACTTCCCAGCATAAACACGTAACACCTGTTCCTTCTCGTCACATAATTTATCAAATTTCTTTGAAACTTTTCAATGGGTACTTATAACCAACTTAAATACTTACATTTAACAAAAATGAGTATTCAAATCATGAACACACATATTATGTCGTATCTGTTAAATGTCATTAGGCCTGTAAAATAATTCATTTTCTTGTTGATGAAGTAATCCATCTAAACAAACATCCATCACAGTTTCGCTAGGCATAGATGTATTATGATTACTCAACCTCAATTACGATACATCCAGAGTTATCTCATCAGAAACCGAAAACATATTCTCAAGTAGATATATTATTATTTCAGTTAAAGTAAAGTTTTCTCCATTACAACGTACCGCTCCGAACTTAGGAACACATTTAGTTATAAATGGTTCAATGACTTTCCTTGTTACCCCTTTTTATTTATTTTTTTTCCGTGCGGAAATCCCCTCGGATACCAACTGTCGGTGGCATGTCGGACTCGAACCGACTAAAACCGCACGCCGTCTCGGGTACTAATAGCCGGGGAACCAGGTATACCCTAGAAAGGAAGTCCCTGGTGCCCCGACATACCTCGGGTCATCTACAGACGAGTAGACGACCCCCCCCCCCCCCCCGTGTGGGAACCCCATGTTCCCTGTGCTCCCTGGAGGCAAGCGCGCTTCGCAACGCGCTCGCCGCCACCCCGGCCTGCTTCTGCTAGGGTGACAGATGGCCTCACCTGTCACCCCAAGGCCTGCGCTTATGGAGGACGGAGGTCGTTCTGCGACCTCCGGCGCCTGAGTTTTCCATGTTACCCTACAGAAAACTGTGAGTATTTCGGACATCTTACTCACAACACCATCGAGTTTCAGACTAAGCAGAGCTTGACCTATGAAAGCTAGATTGACTGATAGAATACTTAAATATACTCTTTCCTTTGTAAATACATACATATAATACAAAACACCTAAACTCACAAACAGATATTTGCAGATCATTTTATAAACATTTGGTTTCAGTACAGCAGTCGCAGTGCACCAGCGAGGCAGAATATTTTATAAAGCGTCAACTAACAAGAAGATATTTATGCAAAAACATATTTATGCAAATAAATATTTATGCAAATATAACCTTTACAATAATATTCTAGTCAAAAGAGGAGAAACTACGATCTGTGTATATTTTTACAACAAAGGAGTTGCTGACAAAATGAAAGTCATTAAAATTTCAACGGTAATACAATACAGTACGATAATGTGAATATATTCACATTGTACAGTTAGATAGCCTCACACATCATCACATCAACAGCCTTTAATAGTCTACTGCTGGACATAGGCCTCTCCTTAGAAAGTAGGTTTTGGCCTACTATACCACGCTGGCCAGACGGGTTGGTATCGGATTTGTGTCAAGTTTTCCTTCTCTCTGCAGTGTTGTTGTTCTGCGTAGTTTTCTTCCTTAGTCGGCTCTTACGACACCCACGGGATGAATAGGGTGGTGACACTCTGTATTCTTAATCCGTCACGACACGGACGCATTAGCCGTTAGATACCATTTGCTGTTAATAATTGAATTTCTGTAATTTTCTGTAGACCTAATTGTTACATATATTACAACACAAAGATTATTTCATTTTTAAGACTAAACTTTTTAATGAATCAAATTCGTAATTGATGATGTGTTCCTCCATTATTGTCTTCATTGTTATTGGAAATTTATTTTGATCACTAGTCGTCGTTGTTAAATAATTATAATACGAGTATTTAATCTGCTATTCCAAAGGTCGCGGGTTCGATTCTCGCTCAAGTCAAACATTTGTGTGCATGAACATTTAATGTTTGATTTGGTCTAGGTGTTTCTATGTATAATATGTATTTATTTACAAAAAAAAAGTATATATGTATTTATATCAGTTGCCTAGTACCCATAGTACAAGCTCTGATTAGTTTGGGACTAGATGGCGTTGTGTGAATGTAGTAAAATATATTTTTATTATTATACGTACCTAAGCTCCAAAATTATAATATTAATGACTATATAAACAAATTAACATACATAACTATTAAAACTGGACAAATAAATAATACTTTATGTGTGCATCAGGGTTTTTGTAGGTATTGTAAAGTATAAAATGTACAATTCAAAAAAGTAAAAAATGTAATAATCCTATGCATATTTTTATACTCACTTGAACCAAATAAAAAAAGAAATGCTATAATTTTTACTGTCTTATAAGTTTAACATAAAACCTTAAAAAAATTCTTAATAGCAACATTAAATTATTAAATGGTAATGGTTCTTATAAAGTAGCTTTGAAATAAAAAAGCTCGAAATATTCTGCATAATATCAAGTAATATTTTTGATGTCAGAGAACGAATTCATAAGCCGTGTGTGTTAATTTTTTCAAAGGGATTGACTATAATAAAATTTATATTGATTTCGATGTTCTCAGATCCAAAACACGTCATGTGGTAACCGCATTAAATTAAAAAAATTGCTTAAAGATAGTGCTTAGTTTACTGCATAGAAAATAAAGCGATATATACAACGAGTTCACTATGTCATACCAACTATTGTCAGTTGCATAAATTTACGTGATCATTTGTCATTTCAATATTTGTTGAATAAGGAAAAAACTCAGTTAATTCTGCTTTGTATAAGAAACTCATGACGAAAATATCAACAGAATTTTTCATCTTCATCCAACAATAAAAAAATCCAAAAATTGGAGGATGTTGAAGCTCAATCTCCATATGAATATGAAATTTAGAGCCCCCAAGTTCAATGGTCTGTTGGACCTTATCTAACGAAGCCTTTGTCTGTATTCATGTTGGACCAAAGCTTTAGGGATCTTAGCTCGTCATTTGTTTCAAT